AAATAGTTTGCTCTTTATTCAAATGATATTACAAACTGTGCTGTGAAATACTTAGCATTGGGCTTACAGGAGTTACAGCTTTAAATATTTGCTAGTCTTAATTTGTGTTTGGTTATCTCTCTTATGTGGTGTTTATGTCTGTTGAGTAACTGACCATCCGCAAAGAGATATGTCTGTGTAAGCATTGCTGGTGTGGATAATGTGCAAGTGCTTTATAACAGGACTGATTTGATATTTTTTTTTTGCGAACAAACATTCGCTTATACAGATGTTTGTAAATGGTGACTTAGAATTACGTGATGATTTTCCTCACCCTCCTCACCGTGGCCTTAGAGGACAGTTGAACATCTACCATTTAGAACAATGTTTTGCATATTTTGATACATCTGCAGCTTCCATCCCCATCCACTTTTCCCCTCCTCCCACCTCAATTTAGTCCAACGTAGAATGACAGTGAAATATTTCACACTGTCCTGAGTAATGACGAATGCCCTCTGGCCCCAGGTCTACAAGCACTGGCGTCACGCTGAAGTCTGGTCTACACAGAAGAAATACTATGAAGTTCTTGGAGTTTTGTAAGGTTCTGCAGGCTCCTGTCTACCCTGGGGGTGCTGCAGCCCCTTGAGGATCACAGTTAGCTGTGCTGGCCCCGCGGTCCAGCTCTAGGCTGAGCGGCTGAGGCAGACAACTCCAGGGTCTACTCTCTTGCCTGTATCCCAAAGTGTGAGACTGTGTGAAGTTTTGGTGCAGGAACAAGTGCCTTTTCACACCAGATATGTATCTAAATAAAATATTTTTAAAAAATATAGAACAAAAGGACTTTAAGCAATTCTAATGAAAGAAGACGTGAATAAACACCATCCTACTTACTGCAGGAGCATGAATCAAAGGCCCTCTTGCTGCTCGTATCAGTAGCTTGGAGGAGTGGGGAGTTTTTAAACTCTGCAGAAGCTCTTTACGCAAATTTCAACCTTATTATAGATTCTTCCCATTCCACTCAGGATAATGGCTTTTGGACCAGCTGAGAAACTGTGCTAGCCCTTGACTAACCATTGAGTGCTTTAGTGCTTACGGCTGGTTCAAACTGAATTGTTGGAAGGAAGGTGTCGAGATGTTTGCAGTCTCTTCAGGATGTGTGCATACTGTGTCTTCTCAGTAGGCACGCGCAGCCTGTATGCAAGCACTGTACCAGCTGAAATGCATTTATTGCTATTAGTGCAGAACCAAGCTGAGCCAATTAGTTTTGCTGGAGGAGGGATACAGTAGTTCAGGCTGAGCTTCTTGGCTAGAGAGCTACTAGAGGAGCTGAAACGAAACTACATCAGCATACTTAGATCCTGCAGGTACTTACCGACTTCTACGAAATAGAGTAGACTACGCATGTGAAGCATTTCTGTTACGCAGAGGGGTTTGGAAACATGTGCTGTCAAGGTAACTGTCCTCTATTACTGCCTACAGTTCACTGTGTACTAACTGCATAGTAGTTGGAAACCACCATTATTCCTTTGGCTTGTCTCAATACCTTGATAATTTGCTTCAGAAACCAGGATTTTCTTAAATTCTTGGTAGCCACAAACATGAAGAAATTATCTGGATGCCGTGTGGGCTCAGAGTTCCATCCCAGCTGACCTCAGTACAAAAATGGATGCAAAGTCTTTGGTCCACAAAGGACAAAATTCAGTGAGAGCATCTGCTGAGCAATGAAAAACATTCTCCAGTGCAACAATGACTCTGTGTTGTCTAATGTGAACAAAACTTCACAGACAAATGCAACACACTGCTCCAGTTAGTTTATTGATTAAGACTATCATGACTGTACTTACTCAGTTTTATGAGGTATGTATTACCAGTCCAAATGGTGTAGTCTTTTTCCAGGTACTGATTTTGTTCCTTACTTGTTACAAGTGACAGAGACCACATATGACATTAATACTATGATGACAGTTGCAGTAACAAATTGCTTGAACTTCCCAGTCTCTACCCCTTCCTCATTGTTTGCTGTCAGTTGTAGAGGTACCATGTGTCACAGCTTGTACAAAATCCCGGATGAACAGATCGCTAAATACATTGCCAGTGGGTGTTACTGTCTGCAGAATACAGGTGTTCCCACTGGAGCTCTGTACATGAAAGCTTGGGCAAGGTGGGATTCTGTCGTGATTTGACCTGAGAGGTTTCTGTTATTACCTCCAAATTTTTATCACATACGCTTTTAGGTGACACAGGAATATAGATCATTAATCATATGTATTCTCTTGTTCTCACTGCATTTCTGAACTATCCTGGCTCTGTTTTACTTCTTCAGTGGACCCATAATATTAATTTAAACTATTATTTAATTCTGATATCTGTTTTTCTTCCAGACTGTTTCTGCTTTTATTGAAGCAGAGCACATTTATGAGCACAAGCAAAAATGCATCATCTATATTAATGAATGTTATCTGTCATCAGTTTGCTTTTTCAGGTTCTGGTAGCCATCAGACACGACACAGCTGTTTTACTAAAGCTGGGCGAGAATATACTGGCATTATTTCTTCTCCTCTGAATGTCCTGTGGTTGACACAGATAATATTTAGGCCTGCTTCGTTTAGCTTTAAGAAAGAAATTCAAGGAAGTCAAAATTACGTTTTTTGTGATTCCTCATCTCTATGTGATTGCCAGGGAGCAGTGAGGGACCGCTGCTCCCGAGGGATGGGGCGTAGGATCCCAGCACGATAGCCTGGCCAGCGAAGCAGGGACTGGCAGGGGGGGCCGGCCCGTGGGGCAGCCCGAGCCCTGGCATATGGGCACGTCCCTGGGCACAGCATGGGCACAGCTGGAGAGCAGCCCTGCTCCTGTGTTGAGGTTGCTGGGGCAGGGGCCAACAGATCCGGGGGGCTGGCGTGGGGTCCTCAGCTGTGGGCAGGGTGTAGGGTCCCCAGGGGGCTGGGCAGGGGTCGTGAGGCTTGGTGGTGCCCCCGTGGCCTGACAGTGGTGTCTGAAACCTCTTATTACTGCAGTTCATATTGAGGTTAGAAAGAGCTGGTTATAGGAAAAAATGTACAAGAAAGCAGCAAGTGGACTCTAGTCACGAGTTGTTCAATAACATCCAGTGTTCCCAGACTTAATCGTTTGACTCTCCTGCCTCATTGCTCCATTTGTATTTTTCTATACGTTTAAAATAGCACACTGTGTGCCCAGGCCAGTTGTTTTCACCATGCATGCATGTCTTGACCCACAAAAGCATAGTCTCAGTTCCATCCCCACCCTTGTACCTAGTGGTTTTCTTTGATCATAGACCTCCCCTGCCCCTTAAGGCTTTGAGCATGGCAGTGGGCATCACTGTGTTCAGGGAGCGGAGCTGAATATGGCTTGTGGAAAACTGAACCCTGTTGTTTCCACCCTCAGGAGCAGTATTTCTCATTAACATTTCCTGGTAACTCTCCTAGTGTGGTTATTTCAGATCTGTGCCATCCCAGCACTGTGGCATTCCCAGTGTTCCTCACACATCTGGAAACTTTGAGGAGTTGCAGAGCTCAGTATTCAAAATGGATTAATCCATACCAGTAAGCCACCTGACAACTGAAATGGTGCTCTTTCCTTTGGTATTTTATGTATGAATCAAACCAACCTTCCCCCCCTCCCCGTCTTTCAGGAAACATAATCCTTGGGTTCTTCCATGTGCTAGACTATGTCTCATCTCCATCAGAAATAAAATTATATTATTATTAGAATATTTGCTCTGTGTACATTGTTGATAAAGTCAAATAAAGCCACTCCTCTTACCTGTGTCTTACCCTATTAAAGTCAACTTATTTTCAGCCGGAATTTGGCCTGTATTGTTTTAACTAGTTCCAGTGGTTTAGTTTACCGTACTCACTGAAAAAGTATGAAATAAAACTTTTCTATTCCTCTGGCTTTAACTGTAAATGTGTTTATTTCTTTTCTTCACCTTTAATCCTCAGTGTTAGGACAGGATTTATTATCTTTTCCCTGCTGTGTTATCTTCTTCAAAATTCCAAGCAATTCTGTTATCAATGAATTTTATTCTCTAAATGATTAGTAGTTCTCTTAGTGTCTCACCTAATGAGATGGCTATGTCCTACCAGTTGATAGATAATGGCTGGCCATGAATATTTCAGCCTTACAGTCTGAAAATTGAATCCAGTGGCAGCAGAGAGAACATTGTTCCCTAAAGCAAAATGAATTATAGCATTTCAGGTCTGATGGGGCTTTTCATTGTATTTCACTGGTAGTAATATAGGATGTTTACACACATAATATCTTTCTAAGTTTGGAGGTAACAGGAATTGAGATGGGTGATAGCCTTCACTCCTACACAGAGTTTGAGTGAATCCCTTGTGCTCTTACCTATTTAAGGACTTCTGCTAGGTGTGTTGGGAAGCAGCTAGGCTGGCTGTCTCTACCACAAAGATACCCATCTTCTTTATTTGCAAGCTGTGATGTAATTTATTTAACATCTGTGATACTGTGCACAGGAAAACTGTGCTGAACAGTTGCAGAAATTAATTATTAATTAATTGGCTTGCAACCATCTAGCTGTTCACTAAGCACTATAGCCAGTACTTCCCCTCACCATTCCTTTCGTCTCCTTGCTTCTTTTCTTTCTTCAGCCTTCTGGTTTCTTACAATCATTCATTCTATGTTGATTGAAATCACATTGTTAATTCTTTGGGGACTGAAGTCTCTCAGTGTGTCTATAATAATCTTGGCAATTAATAATACGGAGAAGACTGATTGCAGCTTTTTCTGGATGGGAAATGGAGACCAAGAGAGAAAAACAGGGTAAGAAGAGGAATTCTTGATCTGATTAGTTTCTGAGCATTTTCTGTGAAAATGGACTCACTCTGCAAAGCAAGTCAAGGGAAGTGGTATTATAGAGGGTTCATATACCCTTTTGTTGCTTAGTTAATTAGAACGAGTTTTCATTCATCTAGTTCTCTACCACCGCTCTCCTGCTTTTTTGCCTGTCTTTGAGCAGGTTTTGTTTGGGTTTTTTTCAGGTCAGAATTAGCTTCCTGCTGTGATGCAGTTCACAATTTTATTGCTTCTCAAAACAACACCCCGCTGGGAAGTAATATGAGTTACGAAGTGGACAGTAAAAAGACCATCCTCATTACAGAGGACGTTTTTAAGATGCTGCCTGTGGTAAGAACTGTATCTTTACCTGTTATTATAATTGGAGTATTGTGTATATTTGGGGTTAGTAATAGAGCTGCTTTGTTTGATTCCTCTGGAAGAGACCCTTCACCTGTTGTATGCACTTCTTCGTTCCCCTTGTCAGACCTTTTTTTTTCCCTTCCTCTGCAGTGGTGGAGGTGTGGACAGGGTATCATAGATCACATTGTAGGTAGAGTTGCTACAGAACACAAGTTGCAGCCTGGCTTGGCAGCCAGCTAAGTTCAGGAGTCAATCCTCTGAGAATGTTTACCTTGCTTTTCTCATTCCCATTTTCAAAGGCATTTCAGTCTGGAATAACATGTCATATTCCTCATATTCCCATGCCATTTCTGGTGCAGGCTTGGGCACGTAACTTAATGAAACTATTTTGGTGCTAAATGGAATAGAATAGAATAGAATAGACCAGACCAGACCAGACCAGACCATTTCAGTTGGAAGGGGCCTACAACAATCATCTAGTCCAACTACCTGACCAGTTCAGGGCTGACCAAGTTAAAGCATGGTATTCAGGGCATTGTCCAAATGCCTCTTAAACGCTGGCAGGCCTGGGACATCGACCACCTCTCTAGGCAGCCTGTTTCAGTGTTTGCCCACCCTCGCAGTAAAGAAAGGCTTCCTAACGTCCAGTCTGAACCTCACCTGGCACAGCTTTGAACATTCCCATGCACCCTATCCCTGGATCTGGAGAAGAGCTCAGCACCTCCCTGTCCACTTCCCCTCCTCAGGAAGCTGTAGAGAGCAATGAGGTCACCCCTCAGTTTCCTTTTCTCCAAACCAGACAACCCCAAAGTGCTTAGCTGCTCCTCATAGGACATGCCTTCCAGCCCTTTCACTGGCTTACTTGCCCACTGGGATGGGGCCTTTGCAGCCAAAAACTCAGGCAGAGCAAGGGAATCAGATTTTGTAGCTCAGGACTTATAATAGACATGTAAGCTCTGGAGACCAGACAAAGAGCGGCACAGAGATATACTTAATTTCTCAAAAGTAAGAGCACATCGGAGCCCTCTTACCCATCTCTGGCTTTCTTGATTTGTGAGATCCCAACTACCATGACCTTTCTAATGCTACTGTGAATCACTGAAAACTTCATTGCAATAGGGTTCCAAATTTAAACTGAATAAAAGAAGAAAGTAGTTTATTTTATGTGCACATATACTTGCTAAGCTGGACAAAGTTTTCTGGCTTTTGTGTTCTTCTGTCTTTCCAGAACTGAACAAAATGTTTGAATGTGTTGTTTTCTAATACAGTGCCAGGCAATGTGGTGTCTGCTGCTTTCCCCACACTTTTTGCCTTGTTTGTAGCAGTGTCCCTTCCAGCTTCTCTTTGGGCAAGCTGATGGGAGTAGGAGGAAGGATAACGCTTTGTGTAAGCAAGTTTTAACTCAATTTTACGAGTTCAGTTTCTGCAAAGTAGCCCAGCTGTTGGCCTCTGTGTTGAATGTCAGTGGTTCCACAGCAGGAGAGGCTGAACAAAAAGTATGAGATATTTGTGAGACCCTGGAATAACAGCCAGCTGTATTAATGTCAACTGAAATAGCCAACCATTTACATTAATTTGCTAGGTTGTGATCTGTGGTGGTTCATAAGTGGATGCACACAGCTCCCATTCAGCTTCCCCGCTGCAAGACAGTAAGCTCTAACAAGAAGAGGAGTAGAGCCAGAAACAGTAACCTCTCCAGTTAGCCGTCACATTCTCCATGAGTTAAGCCAGGGCACATAATTATCCTTTACAGCATCTTCGGATTCCCCCAAATTCATTATTTTACATCAAATGTAATTGTGTGATGACAAAGTAATGAGCCTTTACAAAGTTACCTTCTCTTAACTGACAAAGTCAATGACTACGTGACAATCCCCAGTCTGTTACAGTGCAAAGGAAAATGAGTAAATTTAAACTATCTTCAGCACAAGTTAATTCCTTAGCTTGTCAAGGATTCAGTCCGCTACTAGGTAACTTTTGTGTTAAATGTGTTTGAAAGATATTAATCCAGTTTTAACAATCCAGTGTTATTCCCTCAAAGAACTGATGACAGTAGTAGCAGTTCTCAGTCTCTTGGTGCCTATTTTTGGCTCCAGGCCTGGCAGCGCTGTCTGCTAAATGGTGAATGATTTGCCGGATTAAACCCGCAATGACAAATGACTAAAGATGCGAAGAAACAATCAGAATATTTATAAGGCATTGGCTGTGTCTTTTTGTTTGTTTGCAGTCCTCTCCTCTTTCCTATCCCTTCAAGACCTGTGCTGTGGTTGGAAATGGAGGCATTCTGAAAAATTCCAGCTGCGGAGCTGAAATTGATCATTCTGACTTTGTGTTTAGGTAAGAGCTGTTTCATCTTACTGAGGGTGTCCAGTGTTTCTAAAAACTTGGCAGGCTTGGAAGCATCCCAATGCCATTTTGTAGCAATGAGGAAGGATCTTGACAATTCTTTATTTCTGCCTCTCTAAGGATTCTCCTGCTTTGTAGGTTTCAGAATGCTGATTTCTAAGTAAAGAGAGGACTATATGGATACGTGTATGATCTATGGTTGCAAAGATACCTTGCCAGTGATGTGAAATGTGATTATCTGAGAACCTGAAATTTCTGTTCATTTAACATCCTTTAGGAGGGGGAAGTTTTTTCTTTCTTTCTCTTTCTCTTTCTCTTTCTCTTTCTCTTTCTCTTTCTCTTTCTCTTTCTCTTTCTCTTTCTCTTTCTCTTTCTCTTTCTCTTTCTCTTTTCTCTTCTTCTGTTTTTTCTCTTCTCTGCTCTTCTCTCTGCTCTACTTTCTGCTCTTCTCTGCTCTTTTTGCTGCTCTCCTCTCTTCTTCTTTTATTTTCCTTTCTTTTCCTTTCTCTTCATTGGGAGAAGAGAATAAAGAAAACCCCAAAAATGAAAGAAGAAAGACTGATATGTCACATGTTTACCTCTAGTTTGACAAAGAGTTTATTTAGCCTTAGGTTGGCTCACTAATGCAATTATTTAACCGCCCTGGTATTTCTCTCACCTTCTGTTAGCCATCTAAAAAATTAGGCTTCTAATTTAAGTAGGTTTTTTTCAGCTCCCTCTATAGATTGTGGAGGAAACACTCAGAGCATAATTTGGCCCACTCTCAGTACGTGAGTTTCACACTTGGTAGTTCCTGCAAAGGAACAGAGTAACCAAGTGAAGGTTCTTCTCTCAGTGATGTCCAATCACACAGTCTACTGGATTTTGTTTCCTTGCCTGCTTTTGACTAATATTTGGGCTTTTAAAAAAAAAAAAGTCTTTGCAGTTAGATAACTGTCTTAATAAAAATTTGCGTGCTAAGATGCTAAACTTACCAAGTGAATGACTTTAAAAAAATGCCGCCTTTAGCTTTTACAGAAACCACTGTTTCTGCAGTTGGCAAGTTATGCTGCTGTTGTCTCATGAAACAGCTGTCAATATTACTGTGCAAGCTGAGGCACTGGTACCAATCAGACTATTTTAAAACATAAAATAATAGAAGACTTTCAGAAGAAACACATTGTTTAGGCAAGAGGGGCAGTATTTCCTAGCAGCTAACATAGGGCGTTCATAGACTGACTCCTTCCGGGATTTTAACTTTGCTCCTGATTTGTGAGATGATTTATGAAAATGAGCCCTCTGTGCCCTATTTTAACCATCTGTACAGCAGATTAAATATTTTTACTAGAAGTGCTGTAAGCCTTATTTAATATTTTTAAAGTGCTTAGAGATCCCTGGGAGCTGACATGAAAGTATCATTGCACAAGAGAGGAATTTGCAAATAATAACTGTAAAGCATTTCTGGTGCACATCTGTTTAAGTAAATGTTTCTCAATTTCAGGTGTAACCTCCCTCCAACCATGGGAAGCATTAGCAAAGATGTTGGCAATAAAACAAACCTTGTGACTGTTAATCCGAGTATCATAGCTCAGAAGTAAGTACTACTGCAAATCTCTTTCTGTGCAATATTGTATAATTGTTTTACATGATTTAGATTCTGTTGGGATACCAGCATAGAGAGCAATGCATGCAGATTACTTCATTAAGCCTTAGTTCCCGTGTAAAATATGTACCACTCTAAATGGAAATATGTTAAACGTGGCCTTTTTTGTAGCAGAAAGGAGTCAGCAATACCCAGACTAGCAAATGCCTCAGTTGGTACCAGTTCACAATTTATGACAGAGTAAAACTGATGACTGCAAGCCCAAGCCTCTTCTTTTCCCCTCTATGACCCTCATGACCCCCAACATAAGAAAGGAATTGTAATCATAAATCAGGAGAGCTTGGAAATATGTGTCCAACCCTATCAGTAGGACAGTAGGACTGTAAGCACATGTTCTTAGGTAATGTGCTTAGGGGCTGTTCTGATGAAGGCTATTTCCTGAATAGAGGCCCAATTTCTGTAATCCATTTTCTCAATGCATATGAAAGCTGCTCACACACTTTTTTCTCAGCAAAGTTTTTTTTTTGTTTTTTTTCACCTTCTTGATGAAAAGAAAATCTAATGAGGCCAGGCTGACTAATCTGACATCTTCAGCAGGCTGGAACTGCAGCTTATCTATGAAAAGGACTGCTGTGGCATGTTATATACTGCTTACTGATCTTACTGTATCTTATTGTCTGTCATATCTGTTTTTGTCAAATAGACAACATCAGGCAAAGTTGGTGGGTTTTTTTTTTTCCTTTAAAGGAAGAAGGAAAAAGTACAGTGAGCATAGAAACGACTAACAGGCATTTGTAATTGATTCAAGGATAGAATTTGATTTTTTCAATGAGTACTAACTACCTTGATGCTAACCCAGCCCTTTTTGACTTAAATGAAGATGAATTATTGCTTCCCCAAAAATAGATTTGGCTCATTGATGTTAGTAGGACTGCACAAGAATATGAGGAAGGAAAACTTTGTCCAGTGACTCAGCATTGTTGGTGACTACTGACCTGATGCACGATTTGTCTGGGCTCGATCAAAATGTTCTGCCACAGCTGCACTCATTTTTCAGCCAAATGAAGCCACACCAGGGTTAACAGGAGTTACAATGAAGGAAATAGGAGCTAAACTTGTGTGAGGAAAAAATGAGATCGAGAGGACTTTAGGATTTTTTAAAATGAATCACTTAAGTATTCAGAGAACACTGTAAATGCTTTTGAAGGAGGAGCAGGAAGCAGCTTGGCACCAGTTAGCAGAACTAAGTTTGTTTCTTCTCTCAGAAGACCTGTTCTGACTTTGTTCACTTTAATTTCTAATTCTGTGTTTGGATACTGGGTTAGTCTGATGTTATTATTAAGGTTAATCAGCTTTTGAAATGTGTTTGTCAGTGTATACAATGTAGGTGAACTCTCTTGGAGGAAAGAAGCACAGCTCTTACGTGTCCTGATGGAGCTGGGCTACCCCGCACCTTACAGTGGCAGAGCTGGAAAGGAAAACAAGACGGGGTTGAGTTGTTCAGACTTCTAGCTGAGGAAGAACAGAGATCTCAATTCTGTCCTGAAGGCTCTGTATTTACTTTACACTGAGTAGAAACAGAAAATTCTTGGAGCAGAGGCCAGAAGTTCACCCTTCAGGCACTCTTCCTACACATAGGCTCGGGTGGTTCTTGCTTGTTTTGGCTGTGCGACTCTTGCATGCACAGGGGCCCAGGGTCGGCAGGAGGGGCTGAGTCTCTCTCATTCATTTTGTTTCAGAGTCTGGTGGTAATGGCACTTTCTGGGAAGCAGAAGCTGTAAGTTTAAACCCCTTCAGGCTGAGAAGGGGTGTGTCACTCCTTGCATGTGTTCAGTTGTGCGAGAGGTAACTGGCAACTCCTCCGTGAGGGTTTTGAATGGAAATGGCAGTGGCTGCTGTACTCTGTCTTGAAGTCCTGCATGACAAGAGGGTTTGAACCTACTCAAGTTGTGAAGAGAAGTGAAACCAAGTTTTCCAGTTTCTGCTGGAGCTGCTTGTGAGAAGTGGGCTCTGGTAGCCCTTAAAACATGAAAACACTGCTCAGATAGACACTACCTACAACTCAGTGCTTTGAACCCCAAAGCGGGTGCGAGCACCATTTGTTCAGGTGATTCAGACAAGTCAAATCTATAGAGGAAATGAGATGACTGACCCCCTTGTGTCTTGTATTACTTCTTGGATAACTCTGGAAGTTCACTATTCAATATTTGGGAGCACAGAATTGTCCAATAGTGAGAACCAAGTCTCCTTGCTGGTTGTTGAGGAACCAAAGCATCTGAGGATAAATCCTCTTCATTTGTGAAGTTAGATCTCTAAGTCTTTGTAGATGTCCATGTGTTCCCTTTGTAGTCGAAGGAGATAAATAGACATACCTATATTTTCAGCTAATTTAAAAGTATGTCAAAAGCAGATAAGACCCTGCAGAGCTTGAGCACACACTTATCTTTAACACTCCAAGACTGCTCTCGTGCATACTTGTATTTCCACACAGGGCAGACGCTCAGATTTTGAAGAGAGGTTAGTTTATACCTATTGATGTAAGAAACACATTTCACAGACACATGCAGTACATATCATAGTGCATGTATTTTTAAACAGAGGAAGTATAAGTACGAGGTGGTTTGGTTTTTTTTTGCATTCTCCTTTGAAATTTCTTGAATTGATGAGTTCTGTAAACAGATCCTGGTCTTATCAGCAGTGAATTTGATCTGCATCAGTAGTTCCTGTGTTGCCAATTCAATCCTATGAAGTTTGTTCTTATTATAGAATAAAGCCAGATTTTCAGAACTGTACGTATGACAACATATAACAGGTTGATTATATTTATATCAATAGTATATCCCATTCACTCTTTTCCTAAAATGTTGTACTTTGCAGATACAACAAACTAAATGAAAAGAAGATAGAATTTCTGGAGAACATTGCAGTCTATGGAGATGCTTTCCTTTTATTGCCAGCATTTTCCTTCAGAAGCAACACAGCCACTTCTTTTAAAGTATATCACACTCTGCAAGAGTTCAAAGCAACCCAAAGGGCAATATTTTTTCACCCCACCTATCTGAAAAGTCTTGCCCAGTTCTGGAGAACTAAGGGTGTGAAAGCCTACCGGTTGTCGTCTGGTTTTATGATCACTAGTGCTGCTTTTGAGCTGTGTGAGAATGTGAAGCTCTACGGCTTCTGGCCTTTCTCAAAATCCACAGAGAAGATGCCAATCAGCCACCACTATTATGACAACCAGCTGCCTAAACCAGGTTTCCATGCAATGCCCAAAGAATACAACCAGATCCTTCAGCTTCATAGCAAAGGCATTTTGAAGTTGCAGTTGGGTAAATGTGAATCAGACTAAAAAGGTAGGTCACATTCTTACCACATAAAATATCTTTAAGTAATGGGAAATGTGCGAAAATGTGGGTCTTTTCTTGCTTAGAGAGACATTTCTACTTTACACTCAATGAGAGTTGTGTTCATAAATAAGTGAAAGGCTCGACTTTTCTGAATAAAAGTAAAGTACCACAGAGTTGTGAACTTTAGATGGGGAGCAGAGCTAAATACACGCTATCACCATAATTCACACTCAGTCAGTAGGGTCTCCTTACCTCAGATTCGTGTCTCTGCCAGCCTGCGTTTGCTTTGGTATCAATTCCCGTGAACCAGCCTCCTTTGTGACTTGCTTTATTAAAGGCATTTGCATACTGTGATCTACAGGAGAAGACACCTAATCCTAGCAAGCCTTTCTAGAAGTATACAGAGGCGAAAGTAAGGATTAAGATTGCCCCATGAAGGAGCAGCGTGCGTATGCACCCTTGTTCCTTCTCGTTAGATAAAGATAAGTTTAGATCAGTATGCTCTTGCAGCCCTGGGCTGCGGAACAGCTTGTGGACAGCAGTGGGGAAGCTGCCATACACTACAGCAGATCTTGCTGAGGATTTTACCTTGCGGCAGCTCAGAATCTGGCAGTTACTAATATAGGATGAAGTGTCATTCCCTTACTTCTGTCCTTTCTAAGTGTCCCATCCCCCTTGCCTTCTCTGTATTGCCTCAGAGAAATGCAGCACAGAGTCTGGCCTCTGACCTTGAGCCAGTTTACCATGTATAGATTACAGATGGCTTTGAAAAGATTTGTCTGCACGTTTTCAATCTTGATTTGCCCTGTTGACAAAATATGGCCTATTTGTGTAAATATTTCTTCATCTTTTAAGCTAACTCAGAAATTCCCCAGCTCACAATATTGTCATCAGATTTGCCTTTCACAGAACTCCATTTTTCCAGGGGGTTCAAGTTAATTTAACAGTAAGTGGAATGTGCGGTAGAACTACCATTGTATACAATATGCTTTAATTGGACTGAAGTAATCGCATGCCTGTATTACTCAAGTTAAATAAATTAAAATAGCATAATCTTGTTCAAGTCAGAAATTTAAAGTTTATAGCTAAGCGCTTTTCTTCTGGGTAGGTTCTGAAATGTATTTGAAAATATCCTTTGATGGTATTTAGAAAACATGCTATCAAAGATTCACACTTGGTTCATTGTCAGAGACTGCTAAATTTTAAACTAGCAGATTGCTAGTACCAGGAAAGTAGAATTTAATTCAGTTTTGGTTTATGTGAAGAAATAGAAAAATAAACTGCTTTCATATGTTATTAGAGTAATATAGAACATGTGAGAAGGGACCTAGAAGCCATCTATTGAATCCATTCCCCTAGTGAGTGGCAAGAGATTACCTAGGAGGAGGTGTATGTGTATGCAGTTTCATGTGAGTAAGGTATGCTTTTTTGCTTGTAAAAAGTTGCAGTGTATTGGAAAGGTTAAGAAATACATAATGTATTTTCTTAGTGGCTAAGCTGTTTATACACTGCAGTTTCCATTGTATTTATTCTTCCTATAATGTAAATCGCTGGAGACACACCGTGTGATTTTCATTGTAGTAACTACACCAGCTAAGAAAATGAAAGACAGCTCTTTATGAATATTTGATCTAGAGAGAAGCAGATAGAAGCCACAAAGAAGTTTAAGCATCTGTATGGGTTAATTAAATGCTGTCCGTGCTTGACAGACTGACTTCTGTGGCCAAATCTGCGAAATAAGCTGTAAAGAAAAAAACAACCAGCAGGATAAGTTGTGCTGCCTGAAGATTTTTAGCCACTATGTTAATCACTTATATTTGCAAACCGAAAAGTTAGCCCTTTAAAACCAAAGACATTAAATGCTTTCAGTATGAGCTGCCTTTCTGCTACTATTATCAACTATTAGAGTTAATTGAAATTCTATAATGACTATATTTCACTGAAGATGACCTTTTCTAAAAATTGAACAATCTCCTTCCTCTTTTCAATTTCGCTTCTATGTTCTTCTCCCTGCTCCTCGCTTTTGCCTGTTAGTGGGTAGTGGAAGGTTCCTTACACCACTGGCTGCCCGCAGAAGTCTCAGGCAGAACCTGCCTCACACATTACTGGGACACAGAAGTTTGCTGCTGTAAATAATAAGTGAAGGAGGCTACTCTGCTCCAAACACCTATATGTTAAGCAGGTAGCAGGTTCTGAAATAATATGGAGAGCGTAACCGCATCCCAATGAATCATTTTGGCAGTATTGCTCCTAAAAACCATTCTTGCCGTTGTAAAGGTGAACTTTGCTTATTGGGTAGAGGGAATTGTCAGGTATGAGAGCCCTGTAGAGCTGTTGCTGGACAGTGTGGGAACTCCATCTGCCTTAATACCCGCTCCTGCAGATTTATGATTATGCTCAACAGAGATGCACATGCCTTCGTTAAAGAAGATGCATACCTATCACAGACGGTAAAATAGAAAATGAGACATCGGCGAAAACTTGAAATGTAATTAAAATAATGATCTTTATTATTTTGTATTCAATTACAAAATCATTTTTGCTTGGCCCTGCAGCTGAAGGAGGTCTTGTTTGTTCATTGGTTTAACCTGATAAGGTCGAACGGCATGTCATTATCTTGAAGTAAATATAGGTTCAAGGAGGGGAAATGGCCTGATTCGTATTTGAAAATAGACAGAAAAACCTGATTAGAAAAAAGTCAGATGATAAATTAATCAGACTGGCAAAAATTTGATTGCCCAGAAGCCTGGTTAAAATGCAAATTTAGTCTGACCAAGAATCCGTCAGGTTTTCCGCTTGCTAGAAAGAGACAGCAGGGAAGATGAGTATGTGTTCCTTTGACATACAACACAGTAGCATTAAGCAGCAGCTCACAGAAGTCAGTCAGCAGAAAAAAGCATAGAAAGTAAGAAGGAAAGTGAGACTCCCTGAGCCTGCTCGATCATCCGAGCAGAAGGACTGAAGGAGGAGAGGTTCGACTGAGTGTGTCTTACTTGGAAAGTAAAAATTGGGTCTGGTCTTTTTGATTGCAACCAGATGATTAAAAGCCATCTGTTTCTGACAGAGAGAGCAGCAGTGCAGCCCTCCGCTCAAGGTGGATGTAGCAGGGCAGCGTCCTGTAAAGCAGGGGGCTGCCTGCTTGCTTGCTCAGTTGTTACCATCAAACAGAATCATTTTGTTCCAAACTCTGTCAGCGTGCGATCTTTTTTTAAATATTGAAAGTTGCTGTCAATCAAAATAAGTTATAAATACTGTTATAAATAACCTATTTATAATTGTTACAAATAACCTATTTATAAGTATAATTGTTACAAATAACCTATTTATAACAGTAGGATACCAACATGAGCTTAAATTCTGATGGAATTCTTTTATGCTAGTGGTGTCTCAGTATAGCTACAGAAATAACTGCCCCACAATTCGCTTTTAGTTACCTCAAGAAAAAGGATACCACATTTTGAAAGTAAGGACACCTCTGGATTCCTGTCAGGCAGCTTAATTTCAGCCTATCCATGACATGGACAAATATAATCCAGCATTAAATTGTTAGATGCATACAGTGTTGAAAGAAAGGTCTTCTGCTTTAGTACCCACGCAGTATAGATTTTAAGTGCACACTTTGCTCGTGTATTCCAACACTAATTCTAACACTAATGTCAGTAGTGAAACAGGTGGAGGTAAGTTGCTTCTGGTTTAGGTAAAACCCACCAGAATAGAAAAACATAGTTAAATCAAATTAGAATTTATGTTAGATTTCAAATCAAATGAAACAGTATTTATACATTTAGGAGGGTTACGTCTGGTTTTGGTTTTCCGCAGCAGAACTAGCCTGTTAAAGAAACAAATTAATTTCAATCTCTAGCTATTTCAAAATATGATTAAGATAATATAATTTAGAACATACTCATATTCACCTTAGCAGTGGATATGTCCCATGAAGATACT